TGGTAGCTATATTTTCACCCATGCTATTTCTGTCATGATAGTATTTGTTTTGAACCAAATTTTGTGTGTAATAGTACAGGAGAAAAACATATTTACATGTATTACATTAAATGTTAGTAACACAGATGAGTCATTGGAAATGCACATTCATTGGATTGCTTCAATTGAAACTTCATTTTTTAATGGAAAAGCAATTCTGTAAAGTTGGGAAATTTTTGTAACATATCTACTATGGCTTTTCTGAAAGTAGTCATTACATAGCTGTACCATATTGGATGATTGTACTTATCTAGGCCCTCTACCGCTCCCTATGCAATCTCCTCCTAACAGGAGATGGCAACTGCCTGAGCATCAAATGCTGTCTTCTTACTTTGTTTTGTTTGACTCTTGTCCATTCATGGCTTTGTACAATAGTTCTGACCATTCGTCATCATTGTGATTTGTACAAGGTTACTTCTGGTGTGTCTGTACATCAGTTTGGTTAAAGGATCTTCAGGCCTAGGTCTTCACTTTGGTGTACGAAGCACCCAGAAGACCGGTTGTGAGGAACTTTGCTAGGTGGGTCTTTTTGGCACAGTAACATATTTGCTCTAAACATTCTTTCAAGAGCTCTTCCAAAGAAGTTTCTGAATGTGATTAAAAATTAACATGCTTCTTACAAACTACCTTCATACTGTGATAATGTTCAGAAGATGGATGAATGATACCACTAAATATAACTAGATTTTAATAAACAAGTATTAAGTTTGAATCTCCAGTCAGAGTTTTAGTTTGCTGGTCTAGTTTAAAGGAAATGAATAAGGAGTGTATTTTTACAACACAGTCTTTATATGTGGGGCATTTTTTTCCCCTAAATATTCTTGACCTTCCAATATAATTATTATATTCTTTATATAGTCAGACAAAACAAGTGTAGAAGTTTTTCAGTATGCTACTCTTTGAAATTAGCAAGGGATAATAATAATACAAGTTATTTTTCTATTTTTGACACGCCTCCTGGAAATAGCACAATCAGTAGTACATCAGAGGAGTAAATAATTTAGGTTAAGTTTAAACCTATGAGAGTACGGAAAATAAATTTTCCACTTTGAGTTGAATTTATATTAGCAATACCTAGTATTTGAATATGACCCTCGTGTGACTGCCTTGACCATATTTGTGATGACCAACTTTTGAAGCAATATTTAGTTGTTCTTTTTTTCCCTCTTAAAGGACAAACAATTACCACATTTATCAGATTAAACACTACCAGCCTTAAGGGAACTATACTTCATCTACACAGATTGAAGTGTGCCTTTTAGAGGGTATACCCTCTGCTAGGTTTCAGGTCTCCAAAAAACAGGGAAGAAAAGGAGGCTTCCCTAAAGAAGCTCACTGTCTGATGCAGGAAGTAGAGAAGTAAACACATTATCGTAATTAGCATGGAAGGGGCTGTGATTGAGGTAAGCTCTCTTAGCTAAGCTCCCCTGAGGAAAGTATGAGAGGGTGAGTGGCAATTAAATGATGGTTGAAGAGGGGAGGATGGCAGAGGATCTTTTAGTCAGAATAACAGCAAACTCAGATCCTTTGAAAAGGGGAGATTGGCTCAGAGTCATGAATGGGAGGGAGGGAATGAAATATGAAGGAAGGGAAAGAAGTGAAAATAAATGGAGAATGCCAGTTGCCTTGCAGGTGCCTGATCCTGAGGGTGTTGTAATCCATGCTAATGAGTTAGGGCTTTATTCCAAGTGTACTATTAAAGGGTTTTTTATGCAGGCAAGTAACATAACCAGGTGGCCCCTAAGGCTATGATAGGGAAAAATTTATATACTTGAATATATATACAAATACAAAAATTCTTGTTATAAATTTTACACTTTTCCAGAATCTTAGAGAGTGCTTTGCCCAGTTTCCCAAATCCAAGGTTCTTCATCCCTTGGTATAGAGATGATCAAAGGGGAAAAACCTAACAGACATTCTTCCTGGCTGTCAGTCACTCCCTCACTTGGGGACTTACAGTGGCTTTTAGAGGATACTTGGAATATCCAGGAGGTCATTCAGCCGTACAGTTGAGTACCTCACTTTCAGAAAAACAAACCAGGTAAGAAAAATGCACATTTAAAAAAGGAGGGAAGGACTTGAGACGTGCAGATTTTATATGTTCTTGGGCAAATGAAAACAAACTTACCATTATAAAGTAAAACTGGTATAGGGAGGTTAGAAAGAAAATGGAATATCTAGAATGACTAAGAGATTTGCTGGTCATAACAGGAAGCAAAGCAGGTTTGCAGTGGGTCAAAGAAGATAAATTCCATTTTAACAGAGTGCGAATGCCTGCAGAACATCCATCTGGGGTGGTTTTGTAGATAAACAGATTAAGACCTTGGGGGAAAAATCTGAACCAGAGATTAAGATATACCCAATTATACAAATTAAAGAGAAGATCTCATAATCCAGAGATTGACAGTCCTGAGTGAAACTGTTTTGACCTGTAAGAGTTAAAGTCCTGTGGTAGTCTAACCAGTGGTCAGTTCTTTGCTAAGTGAAATAATGTCGCTTTTCTTTGTTCAAACCTAGTCTAGCTAAAGCCAAGTTACAACTGTCTTGAATTTAAAAGTTGAGGTGTAAGTGAGTTACACTGTTTACACTCAGAATTTGAGAAACAGTTTATCTCCAGAGTTGATTCATTTTCACCTCTACTTTATTATTCTTATTTCTTACTCTTTATTTTCACACTTTTCTTCAGCAGTCAGGAAAACATTCCAAAGTTTGCCCACAAGCAGCAAAGAAGAAGGGTCAAGACAAGCGTGCTGACACCTTGATTTTTTTCTCCTTTCTCTTAAGTAGCACTGAGCTATCATTTGGGTGTGACTTTCATTTCTGTCTGGAACATATATGTCAAATTGACTTTGGAAGCATATAAAGAAAGTTAACAACATGCCCGAGTGACTCGGTACAATTCCGAGCAACATTTCCATGTTCGCCTGTTGCCCTAAAATCAACCTTAAGCTTTGCATGGAATAATAAATACATGCAAATTTTATAAATGCAGTTTAAAAATCCACTTAATACAGTATTTTTCTAGTAAGAAAATCAAAGACGTACCTTTGAGAGTACTTGAGAGAAGACATTGGATTGGAGAAGAGATGACCAGTTCAGGGTTGAGTGTGGAGAGGGTCATTGGAGGTGACCTGCGAGACAGCTGACATATGGAACTGGATCAGAACTAGGAAGATTTGGAGATCACATGATTTTGATTATTTAACCACAAACATAAATAAGAAACTGACGGCGATAAGTTGAGAAACACAGACTGACCACTGGGAGACGACCACAGTGAAAGGTCAGGAGGAAGCTGAGAGCTAATGAAAGTGGGGCTTTCAGAACAGGAGGGTAAACACCCCAAGTGAATGCCAACAAACCAAAAGTAGTTCCAAAAGCAGTTTGTATAACATACTCATGTATCAGCCATCTATGGCTTTTTAGTAGGTGTAAGATTTCAAACTGAGCTATGGAGTTCCAAACTGTTCTCTAAACCCAGGTTTCCAAAGGTTTTCTGCTTCCTGAAGGTGTACAGCTAGAAAGCACTGGTTAGTACTGAGGACATCAAGGTCACAGGAAGCCTTCATGGGCCTCTGATTACCGTTGTGATCTGAGAAAGTCACCTAACCTCTTTCATTTTATGGAGGTAGCTCATCCTGAAGATGAAGAAGCTGGATCTATTTTGTAAAGGCCTTTCAGCTCTAAAATAAGTGTATTTTTCTATAGTAACCTTACCCTCTGCCTCTTACTCTTTTTGGGAGGGAAGTACACTGTTTGGGGGAGTTTAAAAAGCTGGCATCCTCCTTGCTTTTAGAAAAGTGTCCTGCCACTGTGGGCCTGGATAGGTCAGCTTTAGGGGTGGAATAGGGCCCAAAATTTTAGCACTCAACACTTTAAACCAGGACTGCCTCATTTCTGAATAAACTCAATGTTTTAACTCCCTAACCTCCAAAATGGGTCAATGAGAGAATATTCATGTTTTATAACTTAAAGAATCACATTTTAAAGAACTTTGAGATTTTGGTACATACCAGGTACTAGATATCAGCATTTAATTAGCAAATTCTAACTTTACCATCTAATAAGGTGTTCATGCAACTTTATAAATGCCAGAAAAAAGAAAATTTGGTGCTATTCAGAATAGACTAGCTTAAATTACTGATTCATGATATTAGTACTGCAGTCTAGGATTCCTACTGGAAAAAAGAGGAAGCCAACTGCTGGCTGTTAACCCTGTACTTTCCCTAAGGCTTTTCAGAAGTACTTGTATTGTGAAAAGAAAATGACAGCAACTGAATTTGTGTTTTCAAATACTTAAATGGAAGTGTGACAATCAGAAGTACCAAAATATAGACATTTAATCCTTGTGAAATCAAGTCACCAGGTAGCTGCCGAGTATCTAGAGGAAGCCAGTGTTGGTCATGATTTTGATCTTGGATTGGCAGACATTGTCCCACCCACCTGCTTCTCTAGAACGACTTTGGCTGGAAGTGAAGAATAGTCACATTAAGGTTCTTAAAACATCTCCTTAAATTAAGAAAGTAATAGTATAAGGAAGCAGGCTTTCTTATGGGACACCAGACTCCAAAGATAAGATGTATTAGGGATCTGACTGAGGCATGTTACCATTTTTTATTTGATCCAGTTTTCTGCAGCATGTTAGAAGAATAACTAACATGGCACATGTTTTTCTCCCTTCCCTGAAATAGTGAAAACAACTAACCAGGCCAATTAGCCCACTAAAACCCTACCATCCTTTATGATACTTCGCTAATTACACTGTTGCAGTTGCATGCAGCTTTCTCCTTTACCTTGTACTGAGTGTGAATGATATGTAGCAATATTGAAACAGTCTCCAAAAACTTTTGTTTATGCTTTTGAGATGTAATATTTCTGCTAAGGATTCTGTTGCTTTTTTACAGAATCCATTTTTCTAACTAAAAATAACATATTAAGAGAGTCTTCTTTTTACCAATTAGGTCAAAGTCCTAAAATTTTAAGACCCAAACCCCATGGTTTAGAGCGAACTGATTCACAAACCATAGGTGACTTTGCTACAAGAAGAAAGGGTATGTACTTCAGCACCGCATGCTGGATGGGGCATTGGGAATTTATTTGTTTTGTGATGTTTATTCTTAAAAAATAAAGGAGAAGAGCCTTAAGTACTACTGCTGTTTTAAATAAATCTTACCAGCATGTTATTTCTAAAGTGAATGCTTCCCATAATACATGATGACTCCACTTGTTTTGCCATTAACAGCAGCATGTTAAATATTTAATAATATATGATATTCAGTATTGTCCTTTTACATTATTCTTTTAACCTTTTAGACATCAGTGCATGATTTTCTTTAAGCTTGTGAACTACTTCTGAGTTCCAGTTGTCTCCTCTGTCCTGAGACAGAATACAGAATCATTTCCATGGGTTAATTATTTTATGCCATTTCTTACAATTTGACAGCTAAACTGCTATTAACCTTTGGGTTTCAAAAAGTGAAACATAAGAGTTAAAAAAGTACTTCCAGTCTGCACGATATTATGTACATGTCCATTTTAAGTGAATGGCCCTGAGCAAAGTTATTTTAGCTCAAACTTAAATCAGTCTGTCTTCAGAAAAGTCATACTGAGTTTTTTGTATTTGAGTTGACAAAAATAATTATAAACCCTAGTGAATCTGTAGAGCACTTTGAAATGATACCTGTTTTAATTGGTAATTATAACATCATTGATTAATAGTATACCTATATGAACAAAGACTACAAGAAGGAACCTGGAAAGATGAAAATTTTTCCTTTAGAGTGGCAGGATGAAATATAACGAATGATTAAATAGTCTCCTAAAATATACTTAATATTAACAAATAATACTGTTTTCCTTCTTTTGCTCATTTCATTAATTTCTGAAAAATGTTTCAGTCTTGACTTTACAGGCCAAGACCACTTATAAATAAAGCTAATAAGCATATTATTTATTTTTCTTTAATTTGGTAAAGGATATTGTTGGTTAAATTAAGCTAAAAATCTTAGGCAATTGTTTAATGATAGCCTTTTCTCAGAGCTGAGTTTGAATCCAAAGATAGTATATTTAATTTATTTATAGACCAGGCATGAATTAATTTAAAAGATTTGGTTGTTAATTCTTTTTTCAGTTTTCAGTGTTAACCTAAGTTTTCTATTTCATACTATCTATACATTGTTTTACATGTATAGTTGTATAACTGATGCTTTAAAATTGGAGAATAGGGACATTTTTACGTGGAAGATTAAATAAATCTCCATATTTGAAATTAGGGGAAAATGTGAAATTAGTGAAAAAAATGAAATAAGGAAATGATGAAACATATAAATCAAGTAACTAAAAAGAAATTGGATCACATTACCCTTTCTTATTCTCATTTAGTTTTTATTCATAAAATATTTACTTACATTAAGAAGCACCATGTTGTAACAGGTTTAGACTTTGAGTCAGCAGTCATAAACATTATCTGCAGCTTCTGTCACCAGTTACGTAGCTGGGTAACCTTGAGCAAAGCATATAACATCCATGAACCTCATTTTATGGGTGAAACCAGTTGATCTTAGGCGTACTCTGGCTATAACATGTAGAGAGAGGATCATGTTTTGTTTTCTAATTTCCATACTCTTTTTCTCTTATTTCAGCCAAGCCAGCACCTTTAGAAATAAAACCTTTACCAGAATGGGAAGAATTACAAGCCCCAGTTAGATCTCCTATCACCAGGAGTTTTGCTCGAGAGTAAGTCTTTGTTTCAAATATGTAGCTCAATTGTTCTTTGTAATGAAAAATATCTAGAACAGTGGTTCCCAAATGATGGTCTGGGGAGACCCCCCGTTTCTGAGGTTCTGTAAAGTCAAAACTACTTTCACTCAGATACTAAGATGCTGTTTACTTTTTCCACTCTCCTCCTCTCATGAGTGTACACTGGCATCTTCCTATTTGATGATATTGTTGTGACAGGTAATAGAATAGGTATTTATGTACTCTTTTTAAAAATTCTTCTATGACTTGTAATATGGTAACTATCAATAGATATTTATAGATGTTGACATATCTATTGATATAGCCCAAATAAAAGTTCCTTTAGGGTTCTTACTAATCTTTAAGAGGGTAAACTGTTCTTGAGGCTAGAAATATTTAAGAACTACTGATCTGGAAAATATGGTAGTTTCTTGGGGGGATTATTTAATCACAGTTTATTTAAATAATACCGTGGAATGAATATATGGTGTTACAAACCTTTGTTGAACATATGTTTGTGTTTTATGTATACAGTAGTCCTCCCTTAACTGCAGGGGTTATCTTCCAAGTTATTAGTACCCTAATTTTGTAGTATAGAGAAATTGGAAAACAAATCCTATAAATGCTATTTTTTTCTATAAATACCATTGTGATACATACCTATGATAAAATTTAATTTATAAATTAGGCACAGTAAGAGATTAACAATAATGAAATAGAACCATAATGATATTACTATAATAAAAGTTACATGAATGTGGTCCCTTTCTCAAAATACTGTATTGTACTACACTCACCCTTCTTGTAATGATATGAGATGGTAAAATGCCTACATGATGAGATGAAACGAGGTGAATGGTGTAAGCATGGTACATAGCCTTAGGCTGCTATTGACTTTATGATGTTATGTTAAAAGGAGAATCATCTGCTTCTGGACAGTGCTTGACTGTAGGTAACTGAAATTGCGGATAAGGGGAAACTAAGGGGCAGCTAGTTTTTCTTAATAGGAATTCTTACATATTCTTTTTTTTATCTGTGACTTTCTACTTATCCCCCAAATCACTAGCAATACTTTTTTTTTGTTCTACACGAAGTAATTTTTTTATTATTATTAAAATATCATTGATAAACAATCTTACATTGGTTTCAAATGTACAACACAGTGGCTCAGCATTTATCCCATTATTAAATCCTCATCCCCTCTAGTGTGGTCACTAGCTATCAACATAGTAAAATGTACAGAATTATTCTCTGTGCTGTACTGCTCTCACTGTGACCATCCTGTATTGTGATTGTGAATTATTGTGCCCTTTATCCCCTTCGCTGTCCCTCCAACCCCTCCCCCTTGGTAACCACTAGTCCCTTCTCTGTGCCTACAAGTCTACTGCTATTTCTATACAAGTAATTTGATACCCAAAAATATACTTTCACAATATAGCTATAAATATTAGTTGTGCATTTGAATTTGTATGATAAATTGTTATAATAAATGTATAAATGATTGTGTGAGATGATTGTATGATAAATAAATGATAGTAAACTTGAATATTTCTGAAAAAATTGAATTATCACTCATTATTTTGGAAGTGATTTTAGAAATTCTTGTCAAAGTTTGTGTTTGTAATGATGATTTTGTAATCAGCTCCTCTAGGTTCCCCATGTCTCCCCGACCAGATTCAGTGCATAGCACAACTTCAAGCAGTGACTCACATGACAGTGAAGAGAATTATGTTCCCATGAACCCAAACTTCTCCAGTGAGGACTCGGTGCGTAATCTGCATCTTAGCTTCTCTTTTCCTGAGCAGCAGCCCTTCTAAATCATTCATGTTGGAACCTTTCTTCCAATCTATAAATTGTACCCTTACTTAAGGAAAAGGAGAAAAACCAATAAAGGGCCAAAGTATAATTTCAGTTATGCCAGTATCCATAAAGTAGGTATACATTAGTAGTAGTCATGAAAGTTTTGCACTCATAGTTCTTTTAAGATGTACTTGATTTTTGAAACTATTCAAGAAAGTGCTTTATGCTGGAACCACTCTATGATGCAGTTCTCCAGACCCAAGTCAGGGCCCTCTTATGGTGAAATAATCTTGTGCAAAGGGTTTCTTGATAATCTTTCAATAATATACCCTTAGATAAGATTTAAAGATTAGAAAAGAGCTGCTACAAACCTAATTTAGTTTCAGATTGGCTCTGTTATGAGAAGGCACAAAAATCTTATAATAGTGGTAAGCATTATGTTCCCCAGAAATTAGGTAGTTGACAAAAATTACTTTAGATATTGAAGAACACAAACCAGTTTTAGTTTTTAAAAATACTTTGCTCTTGCTTTCCCTTAAATCAATTTCAGTGCTTGCTCAGTGATTCATACCTCAGTGGAGAAGCATATCAGTCAAGATTAGGTTTCCTTCTGAGTAACTGAAAATAATCAAATAACAATGACCTAAGACTGATGTTTCTTTCTCACATAAAAGTCCAGAGAGAGTCAATCCAGGGGTGTTGTGACAGCCCTGTTCTACAGAGCCCTCGGGGATTCTGGCCCCTTCCAGCTCTCCAGTCTGCCGTCCCCTGGGTATAGCTGACATCCTCATAGAACAAGATGATGCTTCAGCCCACAGATTCCCATTCCAAGCTGCAGAGTGGATAAAAGGGACAAGAGGCAAAGGATACTACCTCATAAAGAAGGTTCCTGGAACTGCCGTGTACAGACTGTTGAGTAGAACTTAGTCTATGGTCACAAAGACACAAAAGAGGCTGGAAAATGGTCTTTGATCTGAGGGACAGACAGTAGGCCAGGCTAAAAATCCCATTCATGTGGGAAAAAGGAAAGTAGATGCTGGAGCATAGCCAGGCAGTATCTCCCAGGATAAGCAAATCTCTCATGTTAAAATTTTGAATGAGTGACATGTTAGTGATTTTATTTTCTTTAAAGCAATCCCATTTAGAGATTCAAAACATCAAGTCCAGTTCTGTCAGTAAATTATTAAATTAAAAAATAGTTTTATGTCTTTAATGGACTTAACATTAAAAACAGGTTCCTAACAACCAACTGTATGTTGTCAGAGAACAAAATTAAGTGATAAGAAAAGCTTAATGTGGTGCTTAAATTATTAATTAATTAATTAAAAAATATCAAATCAATAACATGTTCAAAAATTAACAAGATAATGTAAAATATTTATGTCAGCCTCAAATTAGAATACAGACTACCCATAACAATAATGTTTTCACTCATTTTCCAAGGCAGGCCAATTTTTATCAATTGACTTTTGCTTTTGGATTCACAATTTTTCAGCTTGATGAGTGGTGTTTTATTATTTTTATTAACTTAATATTTTTCCTCATTAAAGTAAATAGACTCTGGTAAAAGTCTAAGTAAATCAGTCAGTAAAAAAGAGAGTACACCAATTTTCATCTATAGGGGGTTGAATGAATTTATTACAAAAGTAATTTTCTGAGACACTGAAGAGTGCCATTTTGCACAAAATAGTAAAAAACTATAAAAATCTTAGAAAGGATTAATAATAGGAAAGTTTGAAGGGTATGATTTGTCATGAGTATTAGGTGAACAGAAAAGACTGGAAAGGAAAACATTATAATCAAAAGGTCAAAAGAAACAAAAATATAAAGTTTTTCTTTTATACCTCATAACACTAAAACAAAGGTACTGTCACCTACCAGTAGAGGTGTCTAAATAACCAACCAGCTGGTGAACTTCTCAAGTACTTAGTTAGGTCCCTAGATAAGCAAAAATGTTGTAGGTGAAAATATCTGCCTGCCATTCGCAGGAGAAAGTCAACTGTGCCATCTCCTCCTCCTCATGCCACCAAATGCAAGGGCTCATCTGTAGTCCAGACAGCTCCTCCTCAGGAAGCAGTGTGATAGTTCGAGCGGTATTTCCTGTACCTCTCAGAACTTGGTGTATTAATGGAATACCACAAATGTTCATGAGACCTAATGTGTGTGTGCTTATGGTGATGAAGTCAGTAAAGATTAGTCTTAAAGAAGTTGAGACAGGATTAGATCAAATCTGGTATATGTGTACAATGAAGATGAAGTTCTACACATTGATGATACATTTTCCATACTGGTAGCCTTGGAGCAGACAGGCTCTATTGAAACAGTGAATTGATTACCCTGCCTATTCATTTAGACCAAGATCCTAAGTCAGGCATTTGTGAAGTGAGCCCTTAAAGTAATTCCTGAAACTCAGGTGACAGTACAGCATTACTAAACATAGAAATACTGTTATGTGACAAAAACAACAAAACCATATTCAAAAGTTTTACATATTTTTAAAGGGATTTTTTAAAAACCACTTCATTTTTCTGTGTGCTCTTCTGTTTTGTTTTTTATTCACAAAACATTTAAATAGCTCCTAGAGTCTTAGGATTTTGTAAACTGTTTTGGGAAAACACGGGGTTAAAAGCTAGAACACAGAGACAAGCCATTGCCATTTGGGATTATATGAAGAGCAAATAACTTCCTTGTAAGGACTAATACTTAAAGATGAAAAATTTTCCAGTTAAAGTAATAACTAGACAAAAATGTTTAGCAATTCTGAGAAATTTTCTGTAGGAACAACTTACTGATATTAATACGTACATCATGTGAAATTGCTTCCTTTCATTGCCTTGCAATACTGTGAACAATTCAAAGCATTTCCAATAAAGGACGTTCCAGGTGTGGGGTCTTCTGCTGGTCACATTTGAATATAAAATTTTACACGCATGCACACACACACACGCACACATTCCTGCTTGATTTACATGAGAATGAAATATGGAGTCATTCAAAGAAAAAATTTCAGTTTCTTCATGAATTAGAAAAAGGGGGCAGAGGAATGAATGTTTTTATTCATTAAGCACCAAAACTTGATGACACTTTTTGTACCCTGCATGTTATTGTCAATGTTCTTTTAATGTTTTATTAGCAGTAGTTGATAAATTTGCTTTAAAAATCTGTTCCTACAAATAGGGCCACTATGTTCAGTCACGCAGGTGGTTTGCTGCATAAACACCATGCAGACAGTAATGGAGAATGTACCACAGACTGTACACATACTGTGTTCATGTGTGCTTGCAACCCAGACCATGTCCCTCTCACCAAGCTGTGGGCCCTGGCAGAAAGCTGGGTCACCCCAGAGGAAGAGGCACCTTTTCCTAATTCATAAAAAAAACTATCCACGTGAGCTCTCAGCAACCCTGCTTACAAATGAAGGAATAAACTCAGTATTTTTCTACCAATTGTCCTTCCTATAAATCACAGCATACAGTGTTTAACCTCAAGAAAAAGAAATGGATTGCAATATAAAACAACCAACAAAACCAGGTTTATGCAGTTTCCAAGTGGTTTTGTTCATTGTAACAAGTGTGAATTTTTAAGTTCATTATATCATCACTATTTTTGTGATAAGAGTGAGGTAGTATGTGAACATCTACCTGACAGAAGGCGCAAGGATGAAAAAGTCCCTACTGAATTATAGTCTCATTTATGAGAAATCAGAAACATTTCTAGGTGAGGTTACAAGTGGCAAGGCCCCGAAACCAGTCACTTGTTGGAGCGCACTTAGGAGATTGTCATAATTAGGGTAAAGGTGTATTTAGGGACAGAAGTTCATCTCATCTTCTCCTTTCGTCTTAAGCTTTTTTGCCGTTGGTTATTGCTCTCTTTATCTCCCTTTTTTCTTCATCTCTTTTTAGAGAGTAGTCCTTCTATTGTACAATTCTTATTAGGACAGGAGGGATAAGGCTAAAAGAAGACAGAGAAGATAAGTGGTAAAAATTTCCAGATGGTTGAAACAAAATAGACTTTGCCAGTAGAGTCATCATTATTCAGAGCTTGTAGTTAATATACTTACTCTCAACTAATTTTAGTGTGAAAGTCTTTAAATAAAATATAAAGCTTTTCTCAAAATTTAATTTGAAAGCAAGGAATGTAAGGACTGTTGTTGAAACAGATGTCATTTTAATAATGTTTGGGTTGAGCCATTGCAACTAACTAGCTCAGTGTCCCAGTCTTCATTTCAACCTAGTTTGACTTCTGAAACTACTTTTAGCTTGCTCTAAATTTCAATCACTTTTTTAACATTACTTATTTCCCCCCAACACTAACTGATTACTTAATTTTCTAAGCAGACATTTCTTCAAGCTATGTCCCCTTGAAATAAATATGTAGGCTTTGTAGATAGCAAACAAGATAAGCAGGATGTCTCATAAATACCTGACAGTTGACTTTGTTGTAATATACTTTCAGAATCTTTTTGGCAGCAACAGTCTTGATGGAGGAAGCAGTCCTATGATCAAGCCCAAAGGAGACAAGCAGGTGGAATACCTAGATCTAGATTTAGATTCTGGGAAATCCACACCACCACGCAAAGTAAGTGAAATTAGTTCACCATAGCACATTAGTTTTAGCCTGACGAATCGTATCTCTTTGGGGGAAATTTGTTATCAGTATGTTTAATTTAGATTTAGTAGTCTGTTACTGAATACTGTTTCATAAATCACAAATAACAAAGTTGGGGAGACTAATTTTTTTCCTTGACACGAAAGTTATACCCTTTTTACTCTTTTTAGTGATTACTGTTGAACTGCTAACTTTTATTCTGAAGTTAATTATTGCCTTCACTGTCTTTGGATTGTTAGCACAAATTACTCTCCTCCTGACTTACGTTCTATTTTTATCCAAAATTTTAGTTTTTTCCTTTTGTTAAACCCACAAACTAGACAATAGTAGTAGTAGTATTCTTATTATCTAGGCAGTGTTTATTTACATTTTCCTATGTGTTTGCCAGCTTTTTAAAATCATTCCTTCTTATATCTTAGACTTTCCTTCTGTAATCACTTTTCTTCTTCCTGAAATACATCCTTTAGAAGTTCCTTTCGAGGAGGTGTATTAGTGGTTCCTGGAGTTTTTATTTAATTGAAATATCTTCATTTGCTCTCATTCTTGAAAAAGCATTTTTTTGAGTTTTCAAGTCTTGATCGACAGTTTCTCTCAACATAGAAGATATATTCACTATTATCTAGCTTCCACTATTCCTCTTGAAAAATATGCTGTCAGTCTAGTTGCAGTTCCTTTATGCACAATCTGTCTTTTCTGTCTGGCTGATGTTAAGATATTTTCTGTATCCTTGGAATTCTGCAGGTTCACAACAATGTGTCTAGACATCCAGACATAGATTTATTTTTATTTATCCTGTTTTGTAGAAGTTGTACTATATTCCTGGATTCCTGTTTTTTATGAATTTTTCAAAGTTCTCAGATCTCTAAATATTGTTTTCCCACTATCCTTTTTATTCGCTCCTTTGAGATTTTAGATTAGACATTAGTTAGAACTTTCATTCTGTTTTCCATATCTAATACCACTCTTTCATATTTTCTATCTTATCATCTCTTTGCATGTACTTGGATACTTTCTTTAGCTCTATTACCAAGCTCACTAATTCTCGATTCCTGTGTTTAACCCATCTATTTAATTTTTAATTTCAATTATTTTTTCATTTCTAAAATGTTCTACTTGCTTTTTTCAAATATGCCAAGTTCATTTGAAGAACTTCTTATTCCTTTCTTGTTATTTTGTTCCTTTTATTTAGTTTTGTTTTTTAAATTCCTTGAAACATTTTATACTGTTCATGCAGTAATCTCAGTGTCTATCTAAAGCCCTCAAAGGTCTGAATCTGTGTTTATTGATCCTGTTAACTCATTCTTGATAGCTTGTTTTCTTGTGTGTTTTATATATTTTTTTGTGAATTCATTTTTCTGAGCATATCTGTAAGGAATCCTGCAGACCTAAATTTCCTTCAGAAAGGATTTGCATTTGCTTCTGTTAAGAATCAGGCTATGCCACCACATTAGGACCACCTCAGTTCCCTCCAAGGGTCCCTACTTAACAAGGTAGTCTCAGGTTCAGTTTTGGCATGCCATCCCATCCTAGGCTCCTGATCACTGTGCTGAAATTGACATTCATCCTAAAGGCAACAGCTCTCTGCTTCCTCTGTTTCCATCACAACTTGGTTATTTCCCTTACTTTCCATTGATTTAGCTAATATGTACTTGTATTTTAGGAGCCTGCTTAGTTTGCTGTTCTTAAAATATTGTTTTCCAAAAAACATTTCTAACCTCTAAAGATATATACTGATACATGATGTTCTCAGTACTTGAAAAGTCAAGTGTAAGCTAAAGACTAAAGGTAAGCAAGAGCTGTGTATCTTAAGATGAACCAGGTGTCTGCTATCCCTGTTTTATAAGAATTTCATCAGTGTTGGGAGCATTAGTTTAAATTCTTACATAACAGTTGACTCTTGAACAACATGGGTTTGAACTGCACAGATCCACTTACAGATTTCTTTCAATAAATATATTGGAAAATTTGGGGAGATATGTAACAATTTGGAAAAAGAAATTTATTTTCTCCAAGTTACTTTAAGAATACAGTATATATGATAAATGTAACATAAAAATATGTGTTAATTGACTGTGTTGGTAAACTGAGGAAATATTATTAATGACATATGGAATTTCAAGAGTTATTCATAGTATGTGTGTATCTTTTTTAAGACTGAATTTCACCCAGAAGGACTTCTTTATATGTGCGACTTTATGTGTTTTTCTTTGCTTTTTTTAGCAAAAGAGCAGTGGGTCAGGCAGCAGTGTAGCAGATGAGAGAGTGGATTATGTTGTGGTTGACCAACAGAAGACCCTGGCTCTAAAGAGCACTCGGGAAGCCTGGACAGATGGGAGACAGTCCTCAGAATCTGAAACGCCAACCAAGAGTGTGAAATGAAAATACTGCTTTGCTGTTCTGAACAATAGAGAACTGAATTGTAAAAATAAATCTTATTTGACTGAAGATGGCTTGACACTTCTACTCTAGGTAGATCTTCAACTAAGTAGAATTGAAGTCAAAGGACCTTTCAGGCATAATCAAGCAATTTAGAGTGTAAATGGTGCTGTGTGGTATCTGAACAATTCATAACATGTAAATAATGTGGGAAAATAGTATTGCTTTTAGCTCCCAGAGAAACATTTGTTCCATAGTTAACACACTTGTAGTATTACTGTATTTATGCACTTTTTCATTTAAAACATAGGTTTGGGTATTCCCAGATGTTCCTTAACATAATTCCTTTGGGAGTTCTTGTTTTTCCTCACACTACTCTATATAACAGTACTAAGTTAACCAAGCTACTTTTAGATTTGGGAATTGCTCTTTAAACTACAGTCTAACAACATTAAAATGAGAAGTAGAGTCAGTATTTGCCTTTCTAACTGAAAGTGATAACCATTAGCTTAAACGAAGAGTATACTTGGACTCATCATTCATTGCCTTACAGAATGCTGAGGATAAGCACCTAGTTCTCTGGTTCATGCACATTTAGTTTTCAGTGGTGGAACTTAATTACACTTTGTTAATTGTAGTGTTTTTGGTTCATTGAGTGAAGATTCTGCCAGGTGGAATCTTACACCTTGGAAAGGCTGGATAAATTACACTGTAAGTAAGCCTACAGTCACTGTGACATGTGTGATGATGTGTTCTCCCACTTAGCAACAAGTGTTAAACTTCACATATTTGCAGAAGTAGATTATATAACTAATCAGGTACGTCCCAGGCACTGATGTGCTATTGCACTGATCAGGTTTAGACAACAAGCTTGAACTGTGTTCTTGTTAGTCCTAATAGTGGTTTCTAGTTTGGAATTGATTAAACAGTTGACATTCACTGTTAGTTATAGCAGCATACTGTGATTTTTAATTAGACAGTAATTCAGATTTACTACTCTAAGAAATACTATCTTTTGACACCATAGTGCCCTTCCTATGATTTTATAAAACTGAATATTCTTCTTGGCCTTATATTTAAGTCCCTATGCAATTTAATATTTTATATCTTCATTTAAAAAGAAAATAGGTGCTATATAAGTAATTCTCTTATGTTGCTTTTCCAGTAAAAGAATTAAGGATTTTATACTGTGATTTATATTCACTGCCCCAATTTAAGAAATACTTTAGCCTTGCTATAATGTGAGATCTCACAGTCAAGGACCTCTTCCAGTCAGATTTTTTTAGACCACCAGAGGAATCATATAATTCTGTCTCAACTATAACGTGGTCCTGTGAAGTGGGTATCAAGACTACAAATTATATATGGTGAGACTGCAATGATATTTATCTGTCATGGCTTTGCAATCTAATTTAGAAAGCAAGTACAGTTGTTTGTTAACTAAGTTTCATACAGTCTGTTTATATTGATTTGAGACTTACTAACAGTTTTCAGAGGGGGCATAAAGACAGGAGCACCCACAGCTGAGGCATGACTCCCTCCTTTCAGACCTCTGTTGCCTGAGCACACAAATATGCCCTGATTTTCTGGCCTCTTGGTCATATAGTACTGTGCCTAATCAATGTAATGGTTGTATTTCCCCAGTCCACAAACTAAAAATGTTCATAACAAGTTGAATTGTACACTACTAACATTTGATGCATTTAAATGTTTGCTTCTTTTTTAAAAAAAAAGCTAAGACCCAGAAGTGAATTTCGAGGTGGATTTTTAAATTTAAAAAAATTGTTTGAGTTTGGTGTGCACAAACTCTTTTATAATGAAACCACAAAGTAAAATCTAAAATCATTAAAATGTGCCTAAACTATCAAAACACAGTTGATGTATAAGGTACTAAACTGTGTTATGTGGAGGATGAACATATTGAGATATAGGACATAATAAGCCATTATTCAAAAATAGAAATATTATTTGAAGCTGCCTGTCACAGGAGTCTAAAGCAATTATTAATTTTTTATTATAATTTTCCTTAATTTTCTGTAAGTTACTCCCCATTTTCTGAAGACCTGCAGCACTCTTAATTTGTAGAAATTTTCCTATTATGCAGAACAATTTAAGTCTTGAAATGTGGAAGGCACTGTTTTAGAAAATGAAATCACATTAGGCACTGTATTAACAAATTAAAAGAGTTTCTCATAGAGCAGTATTTTCTAAACATTTTTAGCACTAGAATCTTTTTTTAAATAAAATTTTATGTAACTGCAATATATAAATCCTGAAAAGTCCATTTTATTGGTATAAATGTATTTTGAGTTTACATTTATGTTTGCTTATCTTAGCGCATTACCAAGAATAAATTTCAGAATAATGCAAATGCGAAACTGGGGTTACAGTTAGCAGAAAACCTCAGCAGCCAATTTATTACTACACCTTTTTTTATCTGCACACTACCAAGAAAATTTGATTCACACAAACCTAAGTAACTACAGATAATAACAGGTTTCAAACACACATTTCAGGAGATTCTTTAAGTAGAGATAGCTTAAGTTGTGTTCCTGAGCTTATATAAAAATAAATTATCCTGATAGTGGAACTTAATAAATAATCAGTCTCCATTACGGTAAAATAGAGGAGTATATAACACATTTGAATGTGCATTTTTATTAAATTTTAAAATATAGGCTTAAAAATTTTTGAGCCAAGCCCTTTTAATACTCCTGATCACCTCCAAGAAGCTGTTTTGGCCAGGCATGGGTTGAAAACCACTCGTTAATGATGTGACAGTCATGTTATAAATCAGAGGTCTTTTTCTGCCAGATGTTTGATGTTATCTACCTTTTACTGCATATTTTGAAACAATTTTATGAAGGTTTGGATACTAAAGCACAGTTCTGCTTTCAAAAATTCCTACTTGAATGATTTAAGCTATTTAACCCTCAGAAGGTATCACTTAGTAAGCTAGAAAAGATGGTTTTTAACTACCCTCTAGTTGACCCATTTTCATCTTTATTTTTATCAATACCATATAAGCTACTGTGTTTTAGAGAATTCTGTAAAGGTACTATGAGTGTGTATGTGTATATATAGCATTGTATTTAATCATAGACTAAATTTAATTTGATATAGAAATACTGCTATATGTGTACATTAAGGTCATCAGTCATAGTTTCTTCTGGACTCTTTATATTTAATGAGGGGTCACGATCTTCACAGTCATAAATGCATTTAAACCAGAAATTGAACACCAATATTTGTTTTTTTCTCCTACTGGGGGAAAGTTGTCTGCTTTCACCCTTTAGCAAAAACAATATTTTTCACATTTTGTTAAAATGTCTTCTATGCCTGTACACTATACCATAGACATTGATGGTAATTCTTAGATGCATCCAAACACTCCTAGTGCCTCTTTCTTTGGCCTGTTGAGAATATTGGGATTACTGTTCTGCATGAATAGAAAGTCTTTAAAAGTCTAGAAACAAGGAGGGCTGATGCTTGTATTCCTATCCTGTGGGTCATTCTGGTAGGTCTTGCCTTCTGTTGTCAGATAAGCAGTCAGATCCATGAGAGGGGTTGTACATATGACCAAGTGGCTCCACAGAAAGAGATACATATATCCTACAACAAAAATTATTGTCAGTAACATCTGATATATATAAATCTGTATGTAATTTAGAATACAACTATGAAATGAAAAGCCATGGTGCCATGGTGTTAATGAGTGTTGTCAACATCATGGACTTGATATGATAAAAAATCAATTGTTGGATTGTAGAGATTATTGGTTTTAATCTGACTAAATATATTTATGTATTACTACAACATGAAATACTTTCGTTCGTCGAATCTTTCTTTAGGTTTAGTATAATGTCTATTACAAGTTTCAACAAAATATTTAGTCAAGAGATTAACAAAGCTTCTTCTTCCTTTACATAAAAAGATGGTTTTGTATGAGTTCTTGTAACCTAAATCAATTGTTGATAATCATCCCACATTTCATCAACAAAATCTAATGTATAAGTTTATTTCTCCCTTCTTGCACATTTTCTTCTGTAAAGATCTGACTGTAGATACTTTTCTGCTACCAAATAAAACTTTTCAAACAATCTGGTTTCAAGACTTTAAATAGTTGATATGGATACTGATACTATGAACGAATAAGGAAATATAAATTTGTGTTTATATTTGTGTTTATATTGTCCTTACAGTCTTTAAATCAAAAACCCAGTTTGGCTGTTAACTGTACTTTTTGGTTCTACTTCTGGAGTGTCACTTTTCAGCAAAAAAGATCTCATTCAATCATCCTAAAGTACAATAGTCATGCACTAACTGAATAGGAGAAACTCCCAAAGACTTGCCACATTCATAAGCCCTTGTCATTCTTTGATCTAGTCGATGCTACCAGCCTTTTGTTGAGTAAAGGGAAAATGAGTAAGGGTCTGCATGCAACCTTTATCATCAGAAAATACTTTTGATATGTAAAATTTGACTTGGAAAGTGATATGACTGGGCTTTTTGCATGAGAGTTTTCAAACATCTCCAGTATTTCATAAAATCCTAAGAATTACTGTGTCCATCCTTTGGCCTATGCAGCCCAGAATTTTGCAAATCTGACTCATTAAAGTGGGAAGTTTGGGGGTGATGAAGTTATCTTCTTGGAGGTTTTTCATCTTTTTCTGTCACCTTGTAAATGGTGAAAGTTATGGATCATATTTGCATATAACTTCTTTGGGGAAAAAACTCTGATATAAAAACGTGGTTTGAATTAATTTTATTAGACTTCATGGAGAATATAACTTGGAAATTCTGGGAATATGTGTTATTGCTTATTTAAAAGCTAAGTCGATGGGAAGCATTTTATTAACCTTTGTAATGGGTAACATTACTTAGATTCCCTGTTTTAATATTACATAAATAATTTTTTAAATGGATACCCATAGAAAAGGAAATTTCTAAGTTGTATTTCTGTACTTTATTAGACAGGATTTTATTACTAATGGTTATGTTGGTGATGAACTCATAGCATGTGTCTCTAAGTTTGTGCTATATGGGATGCCCAGAACATTTGGAATACTAGTGTTTAATATACAGTGGTGCAGGAAGGAAAAATCAAATCTCACAAAGAAACCCACTTTCTTAAATACAGTATTGTGATGGTTAATGTGTCAACTTGGCTAGGCTGTGGTGCCCATGTGTTTGTGCAAACACTAATCTAGATGTTGCTGTGAAGATACTTTGTAGATGGGAATAACATCTACCAACAGTTGACTTTAGATAAAGCAGACCACACTCCATAATATGGATAGGCCTCATGCAGTCAGTTGAAGGCCTTAAGAGCAAAAAACAGGTTTCTCACAAAGGGAATTCTGCCTCAGGACTGTAGCATACAAATGCTGAGTTTCCAGCCTACCCTTCAAATTTTAAACTTGCCATCCCCCATGATACTATAAGCCAATTCCAAATTCTTAAATAAATCTCTCCTATAGATGGATGGATGGAGGTCAATTGTTCCTATTGGTCTGTTTCTCTGGAGAACTCTTGACACCTGTTCATTAGTCTGAATGCCTCCTACACATACACTAAGCAATGGTTTGGAGCTTAATTGGCAATATATGGCAGTCTCTACTCCAAAATTTTTTCTCTTGTCAAAGTGTAAATGAATTCCTGAAACCGTTTACTAGCAGTAAAACATGCTTCCACTTCTACTGGCCATAGTTTTTTGTCTTTCAGGAACTCTTAAGTTGGAGTAATACTTCTCTCCAAGAGAGGAAACTGTATAAAGAGGAACAGAAAGATGACTGGATTCTTGCTGGGTAGGGCACAATATCCTGTTAACAATTTCATTTGCTACCTGCAGGTTGTTGTCTTGACCCTTGTCACATGATATGCCCTTGGCATATTTTATTATCCCTGCTTCAAATTTCCCTGTTGTATGTAAAACACATATCCTATATACCTCTAAAACTTTTTAATCAACGATGAAAACAATGAGTCTGAAAGTTGCTTTTTCCAATCGTTAGCAAAAACAATAATTCTGCAACTCAAACAAGAAAGTAGTGTTGTCTCAAATTTTTATTCTGCTAAATGGTGGCCTATTAGACATGTCATTTCAGTAGAGTAGCTGCTACATGTGTGGCACTATGCTATGTGCTGTGGGAAACAGGAAATCTATATCATCTATCATTACAAATTAATGTGTGGAATAATTAAATGATATGAGATAGTAAATACTTCAGAGATAGCAATGATGAACTACCGAAAGGAAGACTCAAAATATTGTAGTCAAGAAAAGCTGTATAGAGATGGAGACTGAGCTGGCCTTTGGAGGACTGGCAAGAAGGAAAAGGTAGGCATCCAAGAAGAAAGCAGTATGAACAATCTATGTTTGCTGTTAGTTTAGTTGTTTTGTTAGAAGAGGAGTATAAAAAAGAGGCAGAATAAAGAGTTGTATATTGGATGGAAGGTTATAAATGTACTAGTTATCCAATGCTATGTAACAAACCGAATGTAATAGTTAAAAAAATATAAGTCAACTATTCTCAAAGCTTCCAGTCAGGAAATTTAGGAATGCCTTGGCTAGGCAGTTCTAGCTCAGCTCTCTAATGAAATTACAGTCAAATCAGCTGAGACCACAGGCATCTTGGAGCTAAAGGATCTGCTTCCAAGGCGGTTTTTACTTGCATGGCTAGCAAATTGGCAGGAGGCCTTTGTCCCTCTGCACGTGAGCTGCTAAACTGGTCTGATTGAGTATCCTCATGGCATGGTGGCTGGCTTCCCCCAAAGCTAGTGATCCCAGAGACCAACCAGAGGCATCGATGCCTTTTATGAGCCAGGTTTGGGAGCCACACACTGTCAGCTGTTCACATGGGTCCTACAGTCCACACCTGATACCCTGTGGAGGAAGACATAAGGGCATGAATACCAGAAAGCAAGGAGCATTGGGAGCATCTTAGAAACTGGCTATTACAAAGGCAAAATTGAGCGTTAAGAGATGAGAGAGGATGGAGAGCCCCAAGAACTAAGTGGAACCCAAGGGTTTGGGGAATTAAGGACTTTAAAATATCAGAACAAACCTAAGCATGGAGGAAGTGGGTCACAGGAAATCAGAAAACAGTTCTAAACCCAGGTCTGAGTTCAGCTGTGTGCTCTTATAAATTACAAACCTATTCAATAGTTACTGAGACACTATATTTTATATCTATATTTATTCCTACTTTAATCCTCAGAATCCTGAGGTAGATACTACTATTCTCTCCAACCTTCACATTCCAATTTAAACAACTCCACAAGGATTTCCCTTAACACCCAAAGGTGATAGCTCTTTCCTCTGAGAGTCACGAAACAAATTGTTATTTTTCATATTTGGCTTTTGTGATGGCATATTAGTTCACTAAGGCTGCCATCACAAAGTACCACACACTGGGTAGCTTAAATGACAAACATTCTTCCAAAGTTCTGGAGTCTGGAAGTCCAAGATGAAGGTATTGGCAGACTTCTGAGACCTCTTTCCTTAGCTGATTAGTAGCCACCTTCTCACAGTGTCCTCACATGGCCTTTCCTCTGCACGCGCCAGCCCCAGTGTTTCTTTTTCTTCTTATAAGGACACCAGTCATTGGATTAGAGCCCCATTTAACCTCCTTAATTACCTCTTAAAGGCCCTATCTCCAAAAGCGATCACATTCTGAGGTACTGGGGTTAGGATTTCAACTTGAATTTTGAGAAACAATTCATTCCATAACAGATAGCTATGTTATTCTCATCTACCTGGCTGTATGCTCCTTAGAATAAAAACTATGTCTTACCCATCATTTTATCAGTCACATTCTTGGCAGGAAAAAAAAGGCACACTCAAAGGAGTAATTGAAAAGAGTTGAATAAAAAAATTACTGCATATTTGTGGTTCAGATTAAGGGAACCAACAAAGAGTGGTTAAAACCCTCAGCAAAAAATAATGTTTTTACCACTTCAGAACTAAAGGGACAAGTATAGGGCACTGTTACTGGCACCCAACAAGAGTGTCCACCAGCAAATGCTTTGTCTTACGTAGGACACAACCACTAGCAAATGAAGACCAGCAGGGAGCGTATCAGATTACCTCTTCCCTGACTTGTCACTGGCTAAAATCAACCAGCAGCCAAAAATAACCCCCGAGATGTAATAGAGATCAGCCTCCCAGGGCACATGTCAAGGCAATTGAGGGCGTGTCTGAACCTGAGAGGTTAAGGGGAGGGGACTGGCTTGCCGGCTGGCTGGCTTCTGCCAGAGCAGAGGATAAAGACGGCCCGAGACTGCAGGTTGTGGGCAATAAACGGGTTTTGAACTTTATTTCTCCCTTTGACTGATTTCGGTTTTTCAACGTATTTTGCCCCGGGATTTCCTCTCCCCAGACTTATATAGTACAAGGAAAGAAAAGTACATCAGTGGAACCCAAGAGAGCACAGAAACAGAACAGCACATATATGAATACTTGACTTATGACAAGGTCACTCTGCAGAGCAGTGGGAAAATAATGTTATTTTGAATAAATTGTGATGGACAGATTGGATAGCCACATAAATAAAAGAGCATTGGCCTCTAATTCACATCATAAACAAATATCAATTCCCAGTAAACTGTAGATACTGTGAAAGGCAAAACAATAACAAAGCTAATATGGGATAATTTTATAATTTGGAGTAAGAGATTTCTTAAAGAAGACTCCCCCCCACAAAAAAAGGTAACCAAAAACAGAAAGATTGATAGGTTTGATTATATCAAAATTAAGAACATCTGTTCATCAACAGAACAGTAAGACAAAGGCAAAACACACTGTTGTTATATTTATAGCCATATACTAATTGACAAAGGACTCATAACCTAAATATATTTAGAATTCCTACAGAAGAATAAGAAAAATACAGTAATCCAAAAAAGGGAGGGGAAGATGAGAAAAATGAACAGAATTTTCACAAAAAAATGTAGAAAGGCTCAAATAAACATATGAAATGATTCAACCTTTCTAGTAATGGGAAATGCAAATAAAACCACAATGTCATATTACTGTACATCCACCAGAATGATTAAAATTAAAAAGCCTGCCAACACCAAGTGTTAACAAGGATTTATA